CACAGCCACAGATGGAAGAGAGGAGGAGGCTGATGAATTTTACATGATCCAAGAGACACAGGGCATGTGCTGCTCTCCCTCACAGTGGAGAGCAAAGACAAGCTGTTCTTTACAAAAATCAGAAAATGCCTCCTTAGCCTGCTTCCCCCCGGCCCCACCTTGCTTCCTGTCTGAAGGCTCTTTGGAGTCATCTGCGGCATATGTGATCTGCTTGCTCTAAGGTGCCGCGGTGCACCTAGCTTGCCTCAAAACAGCTCCGCTTTCATTCCGGGGGCCTGCCTGGGACTTGGAGAGCACAAACAAGTTGTGTTTCCGCCTCCCCCCACCCCATCCCTGCCCAGGTTTCTCATTCTGAGTCGTGGCTTGTACCACTGACAAAACATATCGTCAAATGCGTTTCAGCATTGCTACCTGGCTCCTACTCCATCTCTGCTGCAAAAACATATGGCCACTGCATGAAACAGCATGCCAGTCTCTTGTGGCTTGGTTCTCCGTTGCTTGTGTCCTATACCGTGAGAGTGGCAGGGGTTTACATTCACAACACACAGATAGAAATGATTTACATAGGAGGCCTGATTCTTAGCTACTCTCAGGCCCCTTTAAACTGATCTGGCACCATAAAGGGGTCTTAAAGTGAACGGAAAGAGCCGCCTGGGAATCTTGCCTGGGCAGAAGGCTAGCCTGGCCTGTGGAGAGCTGTAAGGGCATGAAGTCCTGGCCCTGGAGTGGATGGAACGCACCACTGAAATGCACTGCACTAAGGGGATTGAGCATGCACTAAGCATCTGGCCACTTGACACTCGCCTGCCTCAAGGGCAGGAAAGGAGTTTCTGCCAGTCAGGCCCATGGTACCAGGCTGGAGAAGCATGTCTGCAGTCCGGACTGCTATCAGAGGCCAGCTCTCTGTAGGGAGAGGGGAAACCGAGGACACCAGGAGGCAAAGGATTTGGATTCTAATCCAGGGTTTGGTACAGACTCACTGTATGAAAATCACTTCTTCATTCCGCACCTCAATTTTCTTACTGGTAAAAGAAGGAGAATATTCTACTTCCCCACCTTATATGTGGGTTTCAAAACTCAATCCGTTAATGAAAAGTCTTGTGTGGACCTTCATTAGCTGGCATAGCTTGAGCATCTTGGGAGCTTCTGTAAACTACACAGGGTGTAAGCGGGAGAGGGGTGCTGGTATGGAGCAGAAACAGCAATTTGGTGTGCAGTAGTTCTTGACAATATGAATGATGCCTTGGTGTCCTCATCACCAACTTTGGGAGACTGTCTCAAAGAGTTCAGTGGCAGGAAATTTACCTGATATTTGTCTTAAGTGTTCCTTGGTTTAATTTCATCCCGTTATACCTAACTAGACTCTCTGGACCAGACTGCCACTGCATCAATTATGAGCTTCTTTCCACATTTCTGGTTGCACATTCTTTCTTGTACGCTTTGATTTATTTATTCATGTATTTTTTCCTTTGAAATATAAATCTGGCCCTGAGCCACAGAAATTGGTGTTGGAGCTGAAGTTTCCCAAAGATCACGTGTTTTGGTTCAAGCCCTTTTGTGTGTGCATGTGCATGTGCATGTGCATGTTTCAGCTAACTTTTTTTTGGTTATGTAATTTCCTGTTCAAATGTGGGTTTATAGCTCTAGCCTTCTCCTCCCCACCAACACACACATTTTTTCTCTGTCTTTTGGGGATTTCACATCTGGGCTCTAAGTGAGATTGATGGCTCCAAAATCACAATCCTGCAACCACATCACACCCCTATGCCTGTGAAGTCAAGGAGGCATTGAGCAGATGCAAGAGTTCATCTATGTGGATGTGTAGTCACGCAACAGGGTACCGGGTTGCCACAGCAAATGCCTCTCCTTCCCCTGGTGCACATGTATATATATTGCAATAGATCTTTTTTGTGAGATGAGTACGAAACATACTGTGTACAGTGCAATATAAAAAAGCAGAATATATGCACATCTAAGATAGAAACCATTTGCATTATTTGCCCAGTAGCATGTTATATTGCTCAGTGCTGCTGAAATCCTTGCCTTTTGTGTTATTCAAGCCTTCCCCTTCCCCTTGCATTCATCCAGTTTGTCGGGCATCTCATTTACTATGAGGCTCACTGAGTTAAAATGCTGGATATGGTTTTTCAAACACTGCCTCCTCCATTTCCATTTTGAAAGCTGCTTGTTTTTCCTTAGCAAATATGGCTGGATTTCAAAAAGTCATTTCAGAACAAATAAAAAGGGCTAAATGCAGAGCAGGTGCCGGCAGAATTTAAATGGGAGAGGTGTGAATTGATTGCGGGCTGCCCTCCCTAGTGGGGTTTAGCAGTCTCACCTGGAATCAGACACACAACTTTGGTCTGCCCAATTGCAGCCCAGGTGAGGGTATAAGACAGCTCCTCAGCAAGCAGGGTACTTTAGGAGCTGCTGGCTGGTGGACAGGATGGGAATAATAAAGCAGCCAGCTAGTCCTTGGTGTAGTCTAATTTGGCTACTTTGTTACTCCCTTTCTTTAGCCTGGGGGATTCCTAGTGTTTTTAAAGATGCAGCCGTATTAGGGGACCATAGTCAACTAAATTGTGGTTGGACAAACTTGCAGTTCACCTTTCCTGCGAACCGAACTGAGCTGATTTCCCTACTGAGTGCTTTGGGTAAGTGAATTACCTAGAATGAGACTGTCTCTTGCCTAGCTAGAAGATAAAGTTGGGTGATCAAGTGTAAAATTGAGGGAGCCCTGTTCTCTCCTCCCCCCTTTTTAGTCCATTGGGTCCTCAAAAAGTCTGCCCTGTGTAAAGTTTGTAGGTTTTTTCTCTTCATTCAGCTGGTAGAAAAGCAGGTCAGCTCCTCAGCTGATGTAAACTGGCTTAATTCTGCTAAGCAAAGTGAGCTGACATGCCAGCTGAGATTCTGGCCTAGGAAGTCAGAAGGGTAGCTAGCAACTTACACTGGCTGCCCTGATTTCCTTGCAACTCCTGTGTATTGTGGGTGTAAGTCTCTTTGAAGTGAAAAATCACACGAGTGTGTATGGAGTATTGTGGCCTATTTCTGTTGCCTCTGAGGGATTGTTCTCCATCCCCACCTCACAAGTGTGTCCTGGTGACTGAATACTGCTGAGGCGCTTGTGCCTGAAAGATCATACATAAAGCTCCCTCCATGTCGCACTCTTGCAGTGCTTCTATGCCAGCTGCTTCCACAAACCTGAGAGATACTACCCTATTTTGGAGGGCACTAGCAGCATGTGGAAGCAGCTCTGATGCTAAGTAACTTGGATAAGGTAACAGTTTAGAGGGGTGTGGTATCTATGTTGGCATGGATGCTCCAGATTCCTGTTCTGTACTTCATCACTAAGCCCTAATTCTTTCCATAGGTTCCCTGGTTGCTCTAAGTGGGTGGCATCTGGTATTCTTCTATTAGAACTCTAGCTTATGAGCTGACATTGCCTGGAATGCAGAAGGGCATGGAACCCTTTCTTTACTTAGCTTGAGTATCACATGTGCTCTCCTGGAAGGACTACTTACTGGAGCAGCATACCTTCTCCCTCCCATAGCCTTCAACAATTGGGTCTAATGCAGATGTATAAATCCATCCTTTTACATAGATCAGCTGCAGGGATAGGATTGACTCATAGGCTTCTCTATTGTCCGCTGACTCTAGCCTTACTTCCTAGATTCGGCAGGATGGCCTCATCCTCTGCCCAACTCTACATGCGGTGTCCTGGTTCATCAGAAAGAGGATGGGTCCTTGACTGTCACTGCTCCTTACACTGGGTGCTTTTTCATCAAGAAGGTAGGGTCACCTAACTGCAAGGAATAGCAAATGGATGCATGACAGTTGCCTAGAGATCCCTTTTTCTGGCATCAGGAGCCATGTTTTTTGGGGTGTGGGAAGGATGTGGCTGTAATCAATTCAACAATCCCAAGTGGCGGCTTAAAACCAAAGGGCAAACATAACCAAAGGGCAAACATTCCCAACTGGAGAAGGAGGGAGCATTTTGTTTCACTGACTGCTAGATCATCACATGGAAGCTTCTCAAAAGCCTAGCACGTTTCCTTCTCCCACTCATGGTGCCCTCTCCACTTTCTGGAGACTAATGCAGTTAGTGAGCAAACAAGTGTGATGTACTAGAATTTCATATGCTTGTAGAAGTAAGCATATTTTTAATAAACTTTACACCCCCCCTCCCCCCACAAGTTGTGTGCTGCCTATTAATGAACTACTCAAATACAAACAGAATGGCCTGTTTCTGACTTGTTATACATGTGGGCTAACATGAAGAATCACTTGTGACTTAAATGCCACAGTGTAAATGAGACTGGGTTTGCCCCTGAAGTCCAAGTGAAGGAGCAGCTCTAAATTAAGAGGGTTTTTCAAACACTGTTTTTTCCCATCTGTAGAAAATTAGGTGGACTCCATTGTGGAGTCGCAGTGACAGAAGTCTGGTGAGCCTGGATCCAACATGTAAACTAGTTCACAGCTACTTGCGCAGATGCTAAGTAACTTGGCAAGAAGGCTCCAAACTACACATGGAGCAGCTATGTTCCAACATGTAGCTGAGCTGGAAGTTTGCGTGCTCCCGTATTTGGTTGCTGGTGGGGGAAGTGTAGAAAGACCAATACTGACTTCTCATTTACAACTAACCAACAGCTGGAAACAGTCAAGGCTCTGGATTTGAATGCTGACTTGAGGTCCATCTCTAGATGAAACATTTAGACCAGCACAGACGGGGACCCGTTCTGACAATTCAGGAAGACTTGGTGAGCCGGGGGGGGGGGGGGGGGCAGAGCCACCTGGGGAGACACTTGGTGACCCTTTTGAAATGTAATGGTGCCCCATATTTGGGTCCTGACCCATAGGTTGGGGAAACCCTGGTTCAGATTATCAAACTAATTGTTTAGCCTCTGCTGAGGGCCTCATGCCAATTGAGGCAGCATTAAGATGCAGATTTCACAAGCTCCACCTTGTAGGCATGTAACTGAGAAATGGGATGTGCTTCTGGATTGCTAAATGCATTCCAGGGTTCTGTGCATCCAGGGTCTCAAAGCCATTCTGCTGAGAATGGGCCTTGGTATGGTCAGGTAACAAACCATATGCCTTTAACTAGTGGTTCTCAAAGTGTGGTCCATAGTCTATCTTGCAGATGGTTGGGGGGAGGCCCAAGGCTCACAGGCCTGATCTGGCTTGTGGGAGCATGAAACAACTCTGTGCTGCTCTGTGCTGCTGTTCACCTCGTGCCTCTCCCCCCTCTCCCCCCCCCGGCTGAGGGAATGGCAGAGCGGGAAACTGCTTGCTTAGAGGCTTTTCCTGCAGTTTCCATTGGCTGGCATTCCAGCCTGGGAGCAGCAGGGATGCAGAGTCAGGTAAGCACTCCCATCCTTCTTGTACCCCAGTTCCCCTCAAACACACTCCTCCCACCCAGACATCTCAACCCCAGCCTGCTCCTGTACCTATTGTCATGGGTGGTAGTCCACAGAAAGGTTTGCATTGAATGAGGTTGACCATGTGCTTTGACACCCATTTAAGGCAGTGGTAGTCAGCTCACCATGAGGGTGGGACACTGGCCCCTTCCTATTGTGGAAGGTGGAAATGTTCTAATACCTTGGTGTGGCTTGCACCCCCCTCTTCCTGCAGGATGGCTATTTCCTGATGACTATCAGGATTGAAGGAGTAGATGCTACTGGAAAGACTGTCTTGCATGACGAAGAACTGAGATGCCCAATTGACTTGCCAGGTACAATTCTAGGTTCCAGCAGCCCAGCCTGAGAGCATGCTAGTTCTTGCTAGGTGCCTTCAGGTACAATTCTAGGTTCCAGCAGCCCAGCCTGAGATCATGCTAGTTGTTCTTGCTAGGTGCCTTTGTGTGGCAGGTTACCATGTCACATGGTGTAGGATGTTCTTTAGACTTGGATAGCTGTGGTGCCTCACAGGCCTAGAATACATGGGAGGCCAGATTCCAGCATAGCAAATGCTGGCTGCTACAATTACCTTGAATGGGGGCAGGGGAGGACATGTGGCACCTGCCATGTGACACCAAGTGGATGGGGATTGGTTTGGCTGGAACTAGCTCTCCTCATCTCTCCAGCTCTAGATGCTCCAAGTAACAGCATGTGCACAGCTGTCCTGCACCCAGACAGGCTGCCTTGTGCCCCGCCACCTGTCTCTCAGGAAGAATGTGAAGGGAAAGGCTGCTGCTACAATGTTGGTGACCCAGTTGCTCCTTGTTACTATGGCAACACAGGTGGGTTGGAATTGAAAAATGTCAGGTCTGAGTGGCCAAGTAGAATCAGCGCATCACAGCCAGGTGTACAATGCAGTCAGGGATGACCTTCATGGCTTCAGAGCCATCTCCAGGCTGTTCCACTGGAATCTGGCTAGCATCATCTCACTCTTCATAGGTCAGAAAGGACTATCACCATCTGATCTACAGCCCACAGCCTTACCCAGCCAGCGGTTGTGGGTCTATTACCTGAATGGGTGGGTAAATTAAGTCTTGATTTAAAGGCTTCCTCTGACAATTCACCACTTAGTGTCACTTGCTGTTTGAAATAATCTCTGCCTGATGCTGCAGAAGGCTGAAAACCCCTGGGTCTCTACCAAACTGCTGGGGAGGTAAGGGGGTCTTCCTGGTCATATGGTTACTCTGAGCATGCAGGCTACCCACTAGATGGGACACCTGGAAAGAAGAAATAATTATCTAACTTGAAGCCGTCTATCTGTTGGAGAAATCTGTTAGTAGCAATTGCAGGTAGACCTTATACTGTTGCAGGCAGTCCAACTGTAACATCCCCTCAAACTTTTGAAGCAATGTCTTGAAGCCAGTTAAACTGGTCACCTCCCTCTAGCCCCCTTGAAAGGCTGTCCCAGAACTTTCCTTTCAAGAGGCTTAGAAACTAACTTCATTTTGCCAAACCATTTAGGCTTGGATATTAACTGGCCAACACTAGCCTTGTATGTCTCTTGTCCTACTATTTATCCTGCTGATCTATTTAGAGCAGCAGGTCTCAAACTTTTTGGGCTCCAGAGCCCTTTATGTGCATAAATTTAGGTAGAGCCCCAGCAATCCACTGATCGTATGTGTTGTACCTATCAATGTTTCCAGTTTGTCAACCTTGCGGAGACCCTGGAGATGTTTCACGGAGCCCTGGGCCTCCATTAAGCACAGCTTAAGACACTGATTTAGAGCAATCAGTTTTTCCCTCTTTGTTTTGATCAGCTAAACAAGGAAGGAAAAAGTTAAGTCTCCTTTCAAGATAGGCTCTTCATTCCTAGAAACCCTTCTCTGCACCTGTTCCAATCTGAATTAATCTTTTGGAAATGAGACCAGAATTGCACACAGTATTCCAGATGAATACTCACCAGTGCCTTGCATAATGGCATTATCTCCTCCTAGAAATACCTCACCAAGATTGCATGAGCTTTAATTGCCGCACTGCACTGGTGGTTCACATGTTCTGTGACTGACCAAAGCATGTCGTTTCCCTTCTGCTTCCAGCTGAAGTCCCCATCTTGTAGTGCAAACTTGTTCACTAAGTGCATGACTTTGCATTACTAAATCCATCCCATTTCTATACAACCAGTTCCTGAACTTGTCCATCTTGCAGGATATTCTGCTTCTCCATGTGGGCAGGACCTCACAACATCAGGTCAACTGCAATTTATTAGTGCACACTCGTTTGAGGCCCAGACTACTATTGAAATCTTAAGACTGATTCCAAGATTAGTCCTTGAACCCTCTTAGCAACTTCCTCCAGCCTGGCAGTTTACAAGTTATGTGGAAAGTTAGTCTTCCCCCACCTTGTGATTGCAGTTAAATTGGCAGAGGGTATTGACTTCCCACATAGAACTGTCCCATATGCTAAAATGGGATACTTAATGGCCTGGTCTACTATTTTCCACCCAAAACAAGGGTGGAGCTACATAGGCACCAAAGTCCCCCTCTGTCTACATCTTCCACAGAGTCCTGTAGACACCTAAAGTCACATGGTGCCTGACTTTAACATTCCCTAGACAATGATTTCCATGCCTCTGAACAGGCTCACTGCTGCATCACTTAGGTGTCTAGGGACCAGTCTGTCAGCAGTAGCCAGATGTCTTTCCCGCCTCTCCACCCTTGTTTGTGCACCAAATTTGCCCATGGGCTTGATCTGTTAGGTGCCCTTGAATGTCAATTAGATCCAGCATTGCTGGAGGATGAAATTATGCTGGTGCTGCCCACCTTAAACCTCTTAACCCTGCTCGTAAAGAGCAGTCACCTGGGTTGAGAGCCAGGTTCCACTGGCCTTCCCTATTCAAGTCCCCTCCACCTCTGCAAGGAGTTTCCCACCACTAAGTGCTTTCACATTGCTCAACCATTAGTCTGAGGTCCACCTCTGCCTTCTGTTGAAGATGCAGATAAATAAGAGTCCAGACTTCCTGCAGCCTAGATTTAAGTGCCCATCTCTTGAGAAATGGGAAGGACTTAATAAATCCATACTCCCATGGGTTAGCTTAGGCACTCCTGGTATGGTCACTTCAGTGGATTGTGTTCTTGGGTGCCTAGCTCGACCCCCTTCCCTGTCTAGGAGAGCCAACAGACTTGGCTTGGTGAACTGGTGTTTCCTAAGCTCCTGAATAGCTGGTGCTCTGCACTTCAGCATTGCAATATCAAAACATTAAGAGCAACCAATATGAACTTGAACCAATGTGACTGTCAAAACGTCTGTAGAGAACAATAGTCCATGTTGCAGAAAAACAGATTCTGGCTGGAAATGTTAGGCCTCTTGCACAAACACCAGAGGTCATGGGACTGCCCTTTCTCTATACCTAAGCTCAGAAGATTAGCATACTTTAATTTTTTTTCATTGGTGGTGGTGGCGAACTTCCAAAAATTAGGCTATTGAGACAGATCCTCCAGAACTATCTCCCAGCAGGTGTTCTTTAGTGGCTTGCTGCCTTAAACTACTTACACACCTGTGGTCAGGCCCACTTAATGTCAGATCCTAAAGCTAGTGCAACTTACCTAAATTCCTGGCTGGCTCCATTTTCCCCTCTGGGAAGAAGGCAGAAATCGATGGCACAACCAATGAAACCTGGAGAAGGTTTGGAAGTGATAGCATTAGAGCTGGCCTTGGCAACTCTTCTGGGCATGAAGGGTCCATCTGCAAAACAGTTCCCTGCCACTCAAAGCTATACCACTAGACATGCCTGTAGATATTGCATCTGACTAGCAAGCTGACTTTTAACACCTCCCTCCCCTCAAACTAACTTGCCTTGATTTATTTGTATCTTCAAAAGGTCTTAGTTGCCACTAAGGGCCATGGGGTGAGACTGTCCAACTGCATAAAAATCCCTGCCCTCTAGAGCTAATGCGGACCATTGTGCTCCATGTCAAACACCTACCATGGAAGGGCCATGGTTTGTAGGCCAGCCTGCATCCTTCTGTGACAGAGGGAATGGGATCAATATTTCAAGAGCAAGTCTTTCCTCTACATTTTTGGAGCCCATCTGGTTTAGGACAGCTAAGGCTAGCTCCACTTGGTACTACAAGGAGCAAATCAGTAGGAAGAGGCTTGTGGAGGGACAAGATGGCAGCACTTGCATTGTAATGTCTAACCAAGCCCTTCTGCTTTTACTTTCAGTGACTGCACAGTGCACATCTGATGGCCAGTTCTCCATTGCAGTCTCTAGAGATGTGACTTTGCCACCACTGATACTAGACTCTATGCACCTAGTCAGTGGACTTGGCAGCAGCTGTGCCCCTGTGGCCAAGAGCAACACCTTTGTCCTATACAGATTTCCACTCTCAGCTTGTGGAACCACTTTCCAGGTAAGATGAGGGCAGCAGGAAAGATTTTTTTCCCCTGACTACAATGAATTCTTCTGCTGTGTACTGGCGTCTGCTGCTGCCAGCCAGGATTGGAGTGGGATAAACCAGTTTCTTAGCTTTGCTGCTTGTCTACTCTAATAGTCCTACAATTTCTTCAAACACCTGGGAAGAGTCTATGGGTGAATGGGAAGTAGCCACTGTCCTAGGAACACAAGGGAGTCTCTGCTCTCCATACTTTTTGAAAGAGGAGCAACTCACCTTTTAACTCTGACTTGGGTGCACTCATCACTAACTTGTCAACCCTCTTGCTTGAAGCAAGAGGACTAAAAGGCAGAGCTGGAAACTGTGAATTCCATATTCTTAACACATGGGGGACCATGCCACTTTGAAGTTTCAGCAGTGCTTAATGCTGGTGTCTCCTGTACAGGGAGTTGGAGACCAGGGTGTTTATGAGAACCAGCTGGTGGCAGACAGGGATGTCAGAAGCTGGAGCATTGGGTCTGTCACCCGGGACAGCACTTTCAGGTAATGAGACTTGTTAAGAGACTTGTTAAGCTCTGGTAAGGCCTAGATGGAAAGGATGCTCTAGATTCTCGCCTCTTCCATAGGAGTAAGTGCTTAAGGGGCAGGATATCAACAGAACTGGACCAGTCTAAATTCATGCCTTGAGTTGTATCCCATCTTTGTGTATAGACTTGGCCTCTAAGTCAGATTGGGGTGGGGGGAGCCTGGGCATGGATGGGAGGAACAGCACCAATACCTTAGTGCAGCGCACAGCAGATGGATTGGGCATGACTGAAAATAGCCTGCCTCATCTGACAGGATGACTCAAACTGTGGCTGGTGGTGAGGGTTGCAAGTCCTAACTCTCCCATCTCTTCCTGATGCATTTGCCCTCACCCATAGCTGTAATTCTCTCCTTCTCCCTGCCCACCCCACCTTTGAGACTTCTGAATTGTCTTGTGAATTTTTCATAATGCGTATAACTAGCCATACTCCAGTGTGAGTCTGGTCAGTGGCTACTCGCTCATGGGGCAGGGAGCTGCATGCTGCTGTTGAATGGGACTTGTTGACCGTGGAAGGGAGTAGAGCATACTAATGTGACTCCCTGTGCACACTAGGCTCCTTGTCAGCTGCAGCTACTCCACTGGGGACTTCATCCCACTCAATGTGCAAGTCTTCACCTTGCCACCACCTCTTCCAGCCACTCAGCATGGCCCTCTGACTCTGGAGATGAGGATTGCCACAGGTAGGTGTTGCAGTTACCTTAGAGGCAACCCATCCCCCAGGGCCTGCCACACCTGGGTACTCTCTAGCAATCCGCTTCCCTCCACCTCCAAAAGTTTGTGCAGGAGACCAGTAGTGACTCCTACCAAGAGCTGCTACTTTCTTATGCCTTGGAACCTTTAAGCATCAACATCACTACTTGGGGAGAAGCTGGTCTGGAATCATCTTATCTCGGGGGGGAGGGGAGAATGAAGATCCAGAGAACTAGGGTGGGTAGGGGTTATGCTGGACTGATGCCAGTGCTTGCAGTTCATAGGAGGACTTTCAATAGAGGGTTTCCTTTCTTGGCTGTAAAATGCCCACTCCTTCAGTTCACTGAAGTGTTTGCCCTTATGAAGAAACATTCCATAGCTCTTAATCACTGAGTTTCTTGCACTTGACACATCTGGTACTGTCTATCAGACAAGATTCTGAATTAGATAGGGGTACTGATTTGAAATGGCAATTGTATGGATAAAGTCCCCAATATCCTGAATATTTGTAGAGCCATGATGTCCCTTCATGCACCACCATGATGCAGAACTTTCCATTGTGGTGTTACTGTCTCTCATAACTGACTGTAACTCTCCTTGCAGACCAACGCTATAGTCAATACTACGTCAGCAGTGACTATCCCGTGGTGAAACTTCTGCAGGACCCAGTCTACGTGGAGGTCCGGATCCTGCAAAGAACAGACCCAAGACTGGCTTTGGTTCTGCACCAGTGCTGGGCTACCCCAAGCACTAATCCTCGGCAGCAGCCACAGTGGCCCATCTTGGTGGAGGGGTAAGTGGTGGGCTCAAGGAATGCAGAGCTGTGGAACGGTACTCATAGGCTCCTGCCTCACTGTAGCTTGCCTTTCTCAGGTGTCCATTCACTGGTGACAACTATCAAACCCAGCTCATCCCTCTGGGAGCAGCTTCAGGGCCACAGCTGCCATATCACTACCAGCGCTTCCTCATCAGCACCTTTACCTTTGTGGACTCTGCCTCTCAGCAGGCACTCAGTGGACCGGTAAGCCATATGTCAGTACCCAGTGTCCTAATCGACAAAGGTCAGTTGGCCATGCTTGGGAAGCCCTATTCCAGCATGAAGGACCTGATAGAATCAGGTTTAATCCATACTTGCCTGTGATAACCCTGTAGGATTATGGCTGACTGCTCCTAGTAGTTCCCTAACGCAGCACTGCAAGGCCTACTAAGCTCTGAGCAGAAATTCCAAGTAGTGGTGGCTTCTACCAAGGAGTCCCAGACTGTCCTGGCTTGTTTAACAGCCGTCTCCTTTACACCACCCACAGAACAATTATCTAGATCCAGAAGCCTTGCTGTTCAACCCCCTTCAATGTTAAATAGCTAGTGCAGTCTTTATTTTCCCACTGCTTCGGTAGGTTCTGCATCTTGGGGAGGGGGGGACAGGGCTGTGAACTTTAAGTGATGCTCTGCACTCTAGTAACTTACAGAAGATCTGCAAGTTAAGAAGCGCTCTTCAGCCTCCCACTATCTCTTGCCTTCCAGGTCTACTTCCATTGCAGTGCTTCAGCCTGTGTCCCATCTGCAGTGGAACCATGCCTTGCTCGCTGCCCCATGACGAGAGGTAAGAGCTTATGCTTAGCTTCAGAAGGGGACCAAGGAGGCATGAATCCTTGTAACTGTATCAGGATGGTTTCAAAAGCTCTAGTGGCCTTGGCACTCAAAGTTGTACTTTGGGCAGGAAAATGGCTTTTTTTTAAATAGCCATGTTGGTGCCACTGACTTCCCCATTGAGTCTGATGTACTGGGTCTATGGAGAGATGGCAAAATTCCCCATTCTACCAAACAAGTTATCTATAGGCACTAGGGAATGACTGAAATATGAGCAACTTATTGCCATCTAAAGTAAAGGGCTTCAGGAAGGGGTTAAGGCTAAATCTGGCACCTCACCAAGGCTATATCTAAATGGCACGATTATTTCAGAATAAGCTATTCCAGGAGAAATAGTGCATCTGCACTACAGGGAAGCCTGGAAATTAGTCCAAAGCAGGCTCCCCTAATGGGGACATGCCATCTCAATTTAGAGCCCCAGGAGTAATTCCTTTAAATGGTCTGGGGAGGAGCTATTTCAAAATAGGAGTGGAGCATCCACACTATTGCGAAATAGCTATTTCAGAAGAGGTGGTCCTCATAGAGTGAAGTTACAAATGCTGAAATAAGCCATCCAAAATGCTAAAATGGTTTCAAAATGACAGACTAACTGTGCAGACGCTTGCAGTATTTCAGAATCCTGCTGCTGTGTAGACGTACCCTTAGTGACAACATAATTTGGCTCTGCTCTATGTCCCTGCCCTGGAGGTACTAAACCACTACACAAGAGCTATCTGGCAATGAGCCTGCAAGTCTTTGTTGCAGTGATGGGTTTTGAGGCTGACTCTCACTTGGGGCAGGCCTTCCTCTCTCATCCTCTGAATGATCATGCCAGCCATGCCCTAAATATAGGAAGGGCCTGAGTCTTAGGGTAGGGGTGTACGGGGCCTCGTTCTCCAAGAGTGGCAGCTTTCTGATGCTAATACCTCCTTGTTTCTAAACAGCAAGAAGAACATCTGAGAAGCAGGCTTCAGAAAATGCTCTAAGGAGCCTGGTAACCACAGAAGGACCTGTAGACTTCCAAAATACTGAAGCAGATCAGACCCTGGAGCAGAAAGGTAATGAATGGAGGTTCTGGCAATAGTCCCAGCTGCTTCAATGGTTTGACTGCTCTACTGCCCTAGAATTGTGGCATGACCTTTGGTATGACTGGAGGATATTGAGCTGTGATGCTAAAAGGGTGATACTCCCTCCCTTTGGGGACAATTACTGGAACTCCTATGCATACTGCAGTCCTTTAATTGAAAGGAACTTGCACAATATCCACTTGGAAGACAAGTGTTGTAGGGGAAACAAGGACCTGGATTCCATTGTTTAGAATTGGTTAGCTTTCTCTAGAGGGTAGAAAAGTCTCACTTTGCCACTGACAAATCCTCATGTCTCCAGGGGAAAAATGTAAATTCCACCACTGGACTGAGTCTCCTGAGGTGCAAAACCTTTCCATCCCTTTCTGCTAAAGTCCATAGACAGTCACACAGCTAGGGAAATAAGACTTTGGATGCAAGGTGGAGAAGTTTTAGAAACCTGTTGCTAGAGACTTCTCCCTATATGAGGCTCCTCCAGAGCAATAGTTGAAGCCCCTCCTTTGTGCCAGAGGGAAGGAGACTGCCCTGAAACCTGAGGGTGTCCATAAGCTCACCCCCTCCCCCCTTGGGCAGGCCTAGCAACTGGGACCATGTCAAAACTCTGCACATTGGCCATTGTTTTGTTGCAACCTGATCCTCTACCATGTGAAGCTAGTGCCCTTCTGTCTTAATTGCCTAGCTTTAATGCCTCTTCCACTTTGCTGATTCTAGTGGCTTGGGGTATGGATCTAACTATCAGCAACACGGTATGCAGGCAATTCCAACAATGAAAATAGAACAGGAATAGTCACCACTTAGAGGTGGTTGTGGATAAACCTTTTTTGGTAGCAGATTCTGCTGCACAATGTTCACAGAGCAGCTTGGCCTGAACTAGTGCTTGACCAGCCCTCCTCCTTCCTACAGGCTCCCAGCAGAGCAGAGGTCTTCTGTCCCAGGAATGGGAACGAGTGGTGGTGGTAGCATTTGGAGCTGCTGTTCTGGCTCTAGTCTGTGTGGGAGTTAAGTATTGGCAGAGACCGACTCGTAAGCAAAAGAATAGAACACCTAAATAAAGCTGAAAATTGCAACTTGGCTCTAGCTCTTTTTTTGGGGGGTGGGAGGAAGGACCCTGCCTCTCTCTGCTATAAAACACCATTACTTTCCAGTAAAAGTGCTAGTATTTCTAATGAACTGCAGACTCTGGACTAGTGCACAACTTTTTTAATGGGTGTGTTTAGGGTGCAGCATATCAGCATTCCCTAACCTTAATACCTGCCTATGTAAACCCACACTACTCAGAGGGCTTTCAAACCTCTGCAGGGCTAGAGAACAAAAAACATCCATGCCAATCAGAATGGAATTATCCAAGGTGTGAAGATTTCAGATGAATCTTACCTACAACAAGTGTGTAGGGACTAGAGGGTTCTTAAAGACTAAAGCTTCTCATTTTCCCATGCCTCAGATTTTGAACACATCTGCCCTCAACTAAGTCACTGCAAGAGAACTTGAGAATTCCATGATGTCCAACCAGTTGTGAATCAGTAGATACCTTAGTGTCTACTGATAACACATGAGCCACATTATTCTGAAAATGTAAATTAAATCTAAGGCAATTAACCAGACTCATCTGGCCAAAAAGCCACATGCAGGCTGGATACCATGGCTATGTCTAGACTGGCATGACTTTCCAGAAATTCTTTAACAGAAAAGTTCTATTTAAAAGCATTTTTGGAACAGAGCATCTAGATTAGCACAGACACTTTTCCACCGAAGCACTTTTTCTTGCAGAAAAGCATCCATGCCAATCTAGATGCGCTTTCCACAAAAAAGCCCCCCATCGCCATTTGCAGAAAACAAATCTGAGCTGTCTACACTGGCCCTTTGGGGCAAAACTTTTGCCTGAATGGGAGCAGCATAGTATTTCCACAAGAACACTGACTGTCTTACATGAGATAGTCAGTGCTTTTGCAGAAATTGGAGCAGCCAGTGTAGATAGCTGGCAAGCTTTTCCAGGAAAGCAGCTGATTTTCTGGGGAAAAACTGGCCAGTCTAGACACACAGCCCATGGCTTTAGATCAGTAAATGGTGAGCGTTCTGGTCCTTAATGGAAAGGACCAACAGCTGTTAACTACTACCCACGCACTGCTGCAGGAAAGGCCAATTGATACACCATGATGAGGTGGGCCTGGAATTTCCATGTTGCTTCTTGTTTGTTGCAGTGATGGGCCTGCATGGAGAAAGGGGAACATACATTCTCTAGTAGCAACTATGTGGGTGGGAGGAGATGTGGGAGTTAGTGTCCAGTTGCAGCTCCCAGCTGCATTTTGAGTTCAGCCTTTACCTCTCAGGGCCAGGGTGCAGATGAATGGGCCTCAGCAAACCACTGACTAAATAAAGATCTGCCTTGACCTTTCCCAATAAGGCAATGAACAGTGTCTTGCCAGCAGAAAGTTACCACCTTTGAGCTCTCAGCATCAATCTTTAGGTAAGATGAAGTATGTTGAGGTGTAAAGATCACTGATCATTCTTGTGATTACTAATGCAAGAGTAAGGGCAGGGCTTAAGGTCCAAAAGCCCTGTCTGCTGACTCAAGAGAGGATGCAGAGTCATTTGGGCTTACAAAGTCAGAGGTTCTGTCTACACGTATATATTTAAAGTGCTTGAGAGTATGCTTTACAGGTAAGCGTGGACACTCAATGAGCATTGGGATTGCTCACTAGATACTCCATCTTCACAAAGGGAGTAGCAACAATGCTAGAAGCATGGGTCCATCTTGTAGCCCAGTTCATAGTGGCATGTAGGGGGGTGGGCTGGGGTTTCCACAGCTGTGAGCAAGAAAGTTACAGACTTGTAAAGTGACAGTGTAGACTTAACCTAAGTCAGCTGTTGTCTGTCACCTGCACAGGAAGTACTGTAAAACCATTCATCCTCCCTCCAGCAGTCTGGTCAATCTTCCAGGACTGGCTGATTTTCTTGCATTCCATTGCCTGGGGATGCCTGGGCCACAAGAAATAGCGGCTCTATTCATGCAAAGGGCTGAGAATAATCTGCAGGGTGAACACACACACCATTATCCTGTTTATCATAATGGCTATTTTAATCCCCCTCCTATGACCTGTTGATGGTGTTGCTGCTAACTTTCTCAAATAAAGTGAAGCACTTGTCTCCCTGGAGCTTTAAGACCTGATTGGGAAAGAATAAATTATAGTAATGACCAGAGAGAAACCCATCTCACCAAAATGAGATGCTACCTGCAGCTGCTCAGGCAGAGATTCATTTTACCCTTGGCTGGCTTGAGTTGTAGCTAATGGCAATGACCCTAAGATTAGTCCTTAGACTAATGCTATTGAGGAATGAACTTTACCCTGCTACTGTTAGGATCTTCACACAAGACTAGTCTATTTGAAACACTAGCCCTTGGGGTTCATTTTCGGAGGGAAAGGGTGTAGGGACCTGAATCCCAGCCTTCAGGACACCTGACCACTGTTCTACTCCTCAGTAAAGAACAGAGCATTCTGCTCATGCAGTAGCCCACACCCATTAATGAAAGGGGTTCTAGTAACAGTAGTTATTACTTTGGGAGCTATAAGCTCAGTTACTTAAGAGGGCCTCTTGGCAACTGGCCAGCCTAGGAGAGGGGGCAGTGGTGTTCAATGCAGTACTGGTAGTAAGTTTTGTTCCCTCTCAGTAGGGAGACTCTATCTCCAAATACAGGGCAACTGGTAAAATTGCTCAGATGTAAACAAGTTCAACAAACTTTCAAAATAACATTAGCTGAGCACACATTAAAGATATACTGCATTATAACTAAAATAGGCAAAAAAATATACAGGCAGTCCCCGGGTTACGTACAAGATAGGGACTGTAGGTTTGTTCTTAAGTTGAATCTGTATGTAAGTCGGAACTGGCATCCAGATTCAGCCGCTGCTGAAACTCAT